AGGCTGTCTGTGTCTTGGCATATGTCGGGACTTCCTGTACATGTCCCCCACACTGGTTGTTCGCAATCTGTTACCMGAGGGTACCACGTTGACTCACCTGCTCAGTTTCCCTTTTGGTGCCTGTGAGTGGCACTGCTGTTACCATCCTGCAAGCCTTCATGTGGACACCTGCTTTCCCTCCTCTCAGGCACAGCCCAGGGCAGGACACTGAGTCCTGTGGAAAACAGTTTCTAGAAAGCATCATAAGCCTGTGAATGAAGTTGAGATGTGAGGTTGCAATTTATTACAAAGCCTGTCTCGCCTGTTTACKTTTATATGTTTKGTTTGTTTGTTTGTTTGTTTGTTTTGCTGGCACTGGGGATAGAACCAGGGCCTCTCATATGGCCAATCAAGCACCCCACCACAGAGCTACACCCCAGCCCTTGCATTTGGTTTTTGATGGAGAATTGGGCTGAATGTGTATTGCTTAAGATGTAATATAAGAATGAGAGGGGTTGAGGTTGTAGCTCTGGCAGAGTGCTTGCCTAGCATGTGCAAGGCACTGGGTTCGATCCTTAGCACCACATACAAATTAAAATAAAGGCAGTTTGTCCATCTACAACTACAAAAAAAAAAAAAAAAGAATGAGCAAAGATAATTGGAAGCCTTTTATTGAGTTTCCCTGTATATGTTCCAATAGGGAAACAAGGAGAAAAATAAATTACATGAAGTCAGCCTCCAGACGTCCCTCTTACTGGAAGTTGATTCTGTAAATAATTCTGATTGGATTTTATCCAAGGTAAAGGCAAAGGGAAGGCATTGTTTGATGACATGTGGCAGTAGGCTGAGAATTTTCACCTTGGGGATTATATGCTGAACATAACGGATGTCCTTGTCATCAAGTTGAAGCACAGCTTGTCTAAACATCCTTTTACCTACTTGTGATCAAAATGCCGTTCGGTGTTTTGGGCCAGTTGTCCTTGAACTTTCTCAGTGATACAACATGAAACCTAATTTCTGTGGAACAGAATTGGCCACCTTACTTCTGAAGTGACTTTTGTCAAACATATCCTGAATGTCCCARTGACAACTTAACATGACCTCAGGAAAACCTGAGACCTAACATCAGATAGCTACCCATGTCTGACAGAGAGTGGCACCACAGATACATTTTGGGTCCTCTCATTCTGCATGACTTTTTCCCAATGAATAAATCAGGACTTCTGATTCTGAGTTTTCTCTGTAAGAATATATTTTTTTAAATGGACTCAAATCCAAAATAACTATAAGTCAAATACAACTGTTTAGATAGTTCCAAATATTTGTGGTCCTGGGGATAGAACCCAGGGCCTCATGCCTGCTAGATAAGCACTCTGCTTATCTAGCATTGGGGAAAGTTGTAGTGGAAATTCAGTGGGAAAAGGTGAGAACAGTGCRCTTGTTTATGTGGAGCTGCATGTAAAGCAAGTAAAACCGGGGAAGGCATGAGCGTTTGAATTACAGCCCTTTTCACCTGACTTCAGGCCTCAGCTGTCTTTATGAAGAAAAGACTGACTGTCGGTAATGCAGCCAAGCGAGGTTCCATGGGCACTGAAAGCAGCCTAGGACTTGTTGTGCACGTCTTATTTTTATTGTTAGCAGTTTTATCCAGGGCTTCTGGGTAAAGATCCATGAAACTTAACAGCAGGGGCTTGAGCGGGTGCTTGCCCYCTGTCCACGGCAGCATTCTTCAAAAGCTGGAAGTGACCCGAACCCACCTGAGTGAGGGTGGACAGAGAGGCAGAATGTGGCCTATGCATACCATTGAGTGTTTCTTCACCTCACAGAGGAAGGTTGTTCTGACTCTTGATGCMCATGGATGAGACTTAAGGACTTTAAGCTAAGTGAAATGACAGTCACAGGACAGATACTGTGGTTCCCCTTATGCCAGGTCTGTAGTCAAAACCAGGACAGAAAGACCGGTAGTTGCTGGTATCCAAGGAGGGAAAAACGGGAGATGCTGCTTAAAAGAAGATTCCAATTTTGCAAGATGAGGGGGTTCTGGAGGGGCTGGGGACGTAGTGCAGTGATAGAGTGTTGCCTGACATGCACAGGCCCTGGGTTGCCCCAGCAGCCTCCACCCCACACAAGGTGAGACGGTGATGGTGTGTACACTATTAGGGATGTATTTATTACCACTGACATGTACAATTAAAAATGGTTAAGATTTTTTTTTTTTTTTTTTTTGGTGGGACTGATCATTGAACCCAGGGGTGCTTTAACGCTGAGCCACACCTCCAGTCCTTTTTATCTTTTGAGACAGGGCCTCTTTAGGTTGCAGAGGCTGGCCTTTAACTTATGATCCTTCTGCCTCTGGGATTATAGTTGTGTGCCACCATGCCTGGCAATAATGAAACTAATTCTAAAAACAAAATCARAAGGATTCTAATCATCATTGTTCTCTAAGCAGGGTGACAGAATTCATTTTATGGTGAGTAATCATTGCTTGCTAAATTGCCGTTTTGCTTACAGAGACCAGTAGGGAGAAGGTGTGTCTAATCTGGACCCCTGGGCTCAGTGAAAGGCTGAGATTCTGCCTTCCCAGGTCATCTGTGGCATACAAGGACATTCTTCTTGGGTCTGTGTCACTTGGTTGAACAGAACCTTTTAAGGAATTTGTGGACATGCAAGAGGAGGAAGGGAGCTGAGCTGGGGGTAGGCACCGTGAGTTGGAGTGCCTTGCGTAGTTGAGGAGGAGTCAGTTCAGTGACAGGTGGAGCCACGCTCGCCTTTCACCACCACCGTCCAYATGCCTGGCAAGAACAGCTTAGAGGAAGAGTTTATTTTGGCTCATGGTTCAGAAMACTTAAGTCCTGTGGTCAGGGCCTCCTCTGCCCTTGGCCTGAGGAGAGGCAGAGCACTAGGTGGGAGGGCGGGGGCAGAGGACAGCTGCTGGGCTCTTGACCAGCCAGGTGGAATTCCCAAGGGCAGGCCCCAGTGCCTTTCTCTTCTAATCATGCCCCACCTGCCTGCAGTCACCACCTAGTGAGTCCAGATCACTAATCCATTAACTGGATTAATCCACTGATGGGATTACAGCTCTCAGTCCATTCCTTCCACTTGCTACATATCCCAGCACATGGACTTCTGGGGAACGTTCCTAAATCTAGGTTCCTAGATCTAGACTGTAACAGAATAAGCCAATAATCAGTCAAAAAGCAAACTAGCAGCTGGGCACGATGGCACATGCCTATAATTTGAGCAGCTCAGGAGGCTGAGGCAGGAGGATTGCAAGTTCAAAGCCACCTGAGCAATTTAGCGAGGCACTAGGCCTCAGTGAGACCCTGTCTCTAAATAAAATATTTTTTAGAGAGAGAAAGAGAGAGAGAGAGAGAATTTTAATATTTATTTTTTAGTTCTTGGCGGACACAACATCTTTGTTGGTATGTGGTGCTGAGGATCGAACCCGGGTCGCACGCATGCCAGGCGAGCGCGCTACCGCTTGAGCCACATCCCCAGCCCTCTAAATAAAATATTAAAAATGGACTGGAGATGTGACTCAGTCGATAAGCACCCCTGGGTTCAATACCCAGGAACCCCCCCACCAAATTAATTTGTAGGTAGTAAAATTGAGTGGAACCAACCTCCTGGCTTGGAGCTCCGTGTGAATACTGTGCAGCAGGCGCCGTGGTCTCTGCTCTGGCAGTGGGAGTGTTACGAGTTGCTCTTCCTACTGAAATGTTTGTTTTAAAGTCCATCTTAGTGAAGCTACATTATGTGGCAATCAAACAAGATTTCTATCTGCTTCTGCAACACGGTGCTCCCGAGTGATACAAAAGAATAATATTGTATTGCTAAAAATGTTGGTGGTCTTAGAAATAGCTATGTGTGAAGTAATGTCAAGTTCAGCAGGGTAGACAGTATGGGGAGGGGTCCAGCTTTTTTTCTACCATGTGACTTTTTTCTGAAGTTAATATCACTTCATAAAACATTCGTGCCACTTTAAGAAAACTGGACCAAAAAAACCAAAGGCTGAATGTTTTCTTTGATGTGTGGATGCTGATCCATAATGGGAATGGGGGTGGGGGGCATGGGAGCAATGGAGGAACTTTAGATAGGGCAAAAGGGAGGAAGGGGAAGGGAGGGGCATGGGTAGGAAAGATGGTGGAACAAGATGGACATCATTACCCTAGGTACACATATGAAGACACCAATGGTATGACTCTGCTTCCTGTATCACTAGAGACATGAAAAATTGTGCTGTGTATGTGTACTCTGAATTGAAATGCATTCTAATTAAGTAAATCTAAAATTTAAAAAAAGAAAAAGAAAAAAACACTGGACCAAGAAAACTTGACCTCATAAATTGGTCTATTCCGCAGTGGCTTGACATGACCAGATCAGGACCAATACTTGGTGATACTCATTAGATGATTGCTTTTTGAAGGTCAGATATAGCATGTCAGACTTTAGGGGACATGATTAAAGCAGTGCAGGCAGGACCCTCTGTAACCACTCAAGAAGAGCCCAAGRTGCAGTGCCTGTGATGGGGTCCCCTCTGTGAGCTGGGTCCCGGCAGCACCTGGTATCAGTCGTCCACAGTGGTGCCAGCACCCCTCCACCCTCTGCAGAACTTCACCTCCCAGAGTGAACCTGTGCTCCTACTGCGTTTTGTAGGTTTTCATAACAGRCGTATTCCTAGTTATTAAGTGTTCTTCCACAACATAATTTTACAATACCCCGTTTTTTAAAAATGGATGTCTTCATTTAGTTGTGTTTCTATGTCTGCTCTGTGCAAGGCACTGGGGATGCAGTGGGGACAGCACTAGAGCACATGCCTTGCTCCAGCTAGCTAACCATGAGAGCCGGGGTGGTCAGYCCCATTAGGCTTGGTACAAAGGCCTGGGAAAAAGTGTGCACCGCCTTCACCAGCACAGGCCTGGTGGACTCTGCTGTGGAGATGGGTGGTCGGGGGAAGTCTCCGACTGTGACAGTTCTATACGTTTAGTTTCCCTTAGTGATTGTTTTTGTTTGTTTTTCAGGACTTCAGGAATATGTGGAAGCTGTCTCTTTTCAACACTTCATCAAAACACGGTCATTAATCAGTATGGATGAAATTAATAAAGAGTTGGTATTTACAACAGAAGACAGTGGAAAAGAAAACAAGACTGTGAGAACTTAAAATATTTCTTATTTGTATAGTATACTTAATGGCTTAATGGTCATAGGGGATGGACTAGCTCCATGTGGAGAAGATTGAGATGGGGCATGATCCATGWGATTTCAGATTCTCAGCCAGGGAAMTAKGGCTTTTAAATGTTCTAGTTAGGGATAGAAGAGGAACAGCTTGGGGTACATTGGGAAAAGAAACAATTTTCTGCCCAAAGCAAACACTGTTATTAGTTCTTTTATTAACCTTGTGAGATAAGAATTATCACCTCATTTTACAGAGAAGGAATTAGGCTTTTAAAGAATAGCTAACAAGAAGTCACACAACAAGTCAGGCATGGTGGCTTGCTTCTGTGATCCCTTCGGGAAGATTGCAAGTTCAAAGCCAGCCTCAGCAACTTAGCAAGATCCTAAGTAACTTAGTGAGACCCTGTCCAAAATTTAAAAATAAATAAATAATACAAAAGGACAGGGGTGTAGCTTAGTGGTTATGTCCTGGGTTTAATCCCCAGGACCAAAAAAAGCCACACAGCCAAGWGGCAGCACTAAGATTTGAAACCAGGCATTTTGCATCCAATCCTCTGCCAAGTCTCTCTGCCATGGCTTCTCAAAGTGAGCTGCAGTGGCCCCTTGTGCTAGGTGCTGCCTCAGAGCCTTGTTGGAGAGGCTTTGACTTGAAGCTTTGTAGTGAGGCCATTTACATACTCCGTACCCGAGGGATCCAGTAAAGTCGTTGTTGCATAGTGAGAGCTCTGAATCACTTAGATCATGATGCTTATGTCTGAATTTATGTAGCTCTTGTGAATTAACTTTTTGCAGGTAGATTTTTTTAAAAAAATATTTTGTTTTAGTTGTAGTTGGACACAATACCTTTATCTTATTTTTATGAGGTGCTAAGGATTGAACCCAGCACCCCGCATGAACTWGGCAGGCGCTCTGCTGCTGAGCCACAACCCCAGTCCCTGCAGGTAGATTTTTTAAACAAGCACTCTTTCTTTTTTCTTTCTGGATTTTAGGATAGAAAGAACACTGAGGCAACAGGGTGAGCCCTTTTTCTTTTTGTTYGTTTTGGTTATGTCTGACAGTAGAATGTATTGTGACATATTATATATACATGAGTGGAACTTCCTGTTCTTCTAGTTTTACTTGATGTGGAATTACACTGGTCATGTATTCATATATGAACATAGGAAAGTTATGTCCAACTCATTCTAGTCTCTTTCCTATTCCTATCCCACTCCCTTCTCTTCATTCCCCTTTGTCTAATCCAAAGGACTTCTATGAGCCAACATCCACACGTCAGAGAGAACATTTGGCCTTGGCTTTTGGGATTGGCTTATTTCACTTAGCATGATATTCTCCACTTTCATCCATTTACCAGCAAATGCCATAATTTTATTCTTTTTTAAGGCAGAGTAATATTCCATTGTGCATACCATATTTTCTATATCTGTTCATCTGTTGAAAGGCACCTAGGTTGGTTCCATAGCTTAGCTATTGTGAATTGAGCTGCTATAAACATTGACCTGGCTGTGTCACTGTAGTATACTGATTTTAAGTCTTTTGGATATGAACTGAGGAGTGAGATAACAGGGTCAAATGGTGGTTCTATTCCAAGTTTTCTGAGTAATCTCCATACTGCTTTTCAGAGTGGTTGCACCAATTTGCAGTTCCACAAGGAGGGCCGTTTTGAATGATGTATCTTTTGACATAAAATTCTGATAAAAATTTTTTCCTTTTTTTTGCCTTTTTCCCCTCCTTTTATTATTTTTAGCACCAGAGAGTCAGGATAGGCAGGTGGGAGGTGGAAGGAGCTGCAGGCGTAGACTTCCTGTAGGTCAGCTGGAAGCTAGTCTGACACACGGGCCCATGTGGCATGACTGCCAGGCCTTGAAGGCCCCATGGCCTGCTCTGCGCTGCGCTGTGCTGCAGTGGGTGATGCCGACTGAGGAGCTCCGCTGAGGCTCCTGCCTGCTGGCGAAGGGTGGTGAGCTGCCGTGAGAATCGAGCGACCCGCTTGACCCTGCTTCTTAGCCACSCGGGATTGCCACAGCCCCTTCCGCTCCCTCCTCCCCAGACGGGAGTGTCCAGGGAAGCAGACAGACTGGGAGCAGAGCGCTTGCCGTGCCAGGATTCKGTGCCAGGTGGTTTTAGGTCATGGTGCTGTGTCGTCATATGCACTGTCAGGTTGCTGAGCCACGTTCCTAAATGGCATTTCCTTTTAATGTTGAGGGTGTTTGGTGCTGAGATTTGATAGGGCAAATGTTGTGCTCTGGTTTGCCTCCTGAGGATATTGTCAAACTGACTTAATTTAAAAATTACAAAGTCTCAAGCATACAGAACAGTACAGAGTAGAAAAAAAAGTGAGGGCCCTGTCCCACAAGCTGGACTCAGTGGTTGTTAGCATTGTGACATATTTACTTTTTCTAAATGTTTTTAATTAAGCCGTTATAAAGCAAATTAGCAATACCATGGTATTTCACCCTAAATACTATAGTATCCATCTTGAAAAACTGTACTTTAAATTGCTTTTTTTCACTAATAAATTTCAGGAAGATATTGCTGCCAATTTGTTAGTTGAAGTTTGTTAATTTTTAAATCATGCTTCTTTCTCTAAAATCAACTTATTTATAACCTCCATATCATGGTAGAAACAAAGAACTAATGTTTTCCTTAAGTTCATTTTTATGAATGGCTTTGTTTTAGTTGTAGTTGGACATAATACCTTTATTTTATTTTATTTTATTTTATTTTATTTTTTTTTAAAGAGAGAGTGAGAGAGGAGAGAGAGAGAGAGAATTTTTTTTTTTTTTAATATTTATTTTTTAGTTCTCGGCGGACACAACATCTTTGTTGGTATGTGGTGCTGAGGATCGAACCCGGGCCGCACGCATGCCAGGCGAGCGCRCTACTGCTTGAGCCACATCCCCAGCCCCTATTTTATTTTTATGAGGTGCTAAGGATTGAACCCAGTAAAGTAAATGCACTCATCTCCACCCCCCTACCCCACACAACCTGCTTTTCTAAAAAGTGCCAGTCTCTGATAGCAACATGGCAGGTATTCATGATGTGGTTTTAAAGGCTTTGGAATGCACTCATCTCTGAAGAATAGTGCGCTAGTTCATCAGGTTATATAAGTACAGTTCTTACCTGCCCACCTGTGCGGTTCCTGCTTCCTGCCGTCTCGGCTGTAGTTGCACCGTCACCTAGCCAGGGCTCGTAGAGTTTAGTCTGACGTCACCACTACAGAGGTGACCCGGAATGATGTGGAGAGAGGGTTTGCACATGGATGATCGCTGCCAGCACTGAGTGTGTACTTGTGTTGGAGCATTGTGCTGAGAATGGGGTCAGTGCTGTCTCATTTAATCCATAAAATAACCTCTGAGAGGGTCCTGTTATCCATATTACAGATGAGGAGACTGAGGTTTTAGATAAGATAATTTGCCAGGTGCAGCAAGGTGCTGGAAGAGGTGGGAGGAGATGCTTCGAGGTCCTTGGAAGTGTCAACCTCAAAGCAAGAGGGACCCCTGACCTGGAGAAGGGAGGGCGGAGCACCTGGGGGTGCAGTGAGGCTCTGTCTGCAGGAGAGGCGATGCCAGGGAGTAGGCAGCTGTACTGACACCAAGAGGCTTGGGGTAGAGTGGGTTGCTCAGGGGAGTTGAAGGTTGGAGGAATGTTTAAGGAGGCTGCAGAGGGAACCGCCAAGGAGCGCTGAAAGAACTGGTGAGTAATTCCTAGTGGAACACACTCCATGTGGTTATGATCGCTGCACTCATCCTCCTGAGTAAAGGGTCCACGGGTAGGTTTTAGTATTGATTCCAGGTTCTGATTTCATAGGCCGAGTTCAGGAAGGACGCAGGAGTGTGACGGAGCCCGGGTGCTGCAGTGAGAGGCCTCCAGTCATGGTGGTTAATGCTGAGTGGAGAGGAGCCGCCTGGCTTGGGAAGGCTGCATAATTGTCAGTTGAATGGCGATTTTCGTGCTGCCAGGTCATGAGGCCATGTTGAAGAACACTTCCCTCTGTCTAGTGAAGCTGGAGGCAGTTGGTCTTCCTGGGGCARTATGAGTCTCAGAGTACCCTAGTCACTAGGCCTCTAGTCACTCCTCCCCTGGSCTCGGGCGGGTTCCTCTTCCCCGGCACAGGCTCTGCGTTCCTCTTGGACGCAGTGGACTGGGTGGCTGGGTTCCCGTGTATGCGCTCTCCAGTGAGCTTTCTTTGTGTGCATTGCTTTCTGTTTTTTGTTTTCTAGCCCTCCTTGGATGCACAAGATAAGCATCTTGTCACTTGGAAACTGAAAGTCACACCTGTGGATTATCTTCTGGGAGTGGCTGATCTAACTGGAGAATTGATGCGGATGTGTATTAACAGTGTGGGGAACGGGGACATCGACACCCCCTTTGAAGTGAGCCAGTTTTTGCGCCAGGTGTATGACGGTTTCTCCTTCATTGGCAACACTGGGCCTTACGAGGTCTCCAAGAAGCTGTACACCCTGAAACAGAGTCTGGCCAAAGTGGAGAACGCTTGTTACGCCCTGAAGGTCCGGGGCTCCGAGATCCCAAAGCATATGCTGGCAGACGTGTTCTCGGTGAAGACAGAAATGCCTGATCAGGAGGAGGGCATCTCCTAGAGCAGCATCCCTGGCTGATTCTGAGAGACCAGTTTCTAAGACTGTCACTTAGCATTTCACTGGACTTTGCTGTGGCATTGTCCTAGAAGTGTTTTCAGTTGTGTGTCTTCTAAGTTGTACGCACACTGTACATATAGTTTTCAGCTGAGGCCCTCTTGTCATTCGTGCAAGTGTGGGCACAAGTGTTTGCATGTGTGCCTGTTTGAGGTCTCTGCTGGCTGACCTTCACCATTTATCTGTGCTAGGTGAACGTGCTATGTATTGCTTTTTCTGCGGTACCTCTTTTAATGTTCTTGGTGTGAATGTTGCGGTTATCATTTTTAGTGGCAGCAATTGTAAGTTGGTGGTTTTGTTTTAGATAGAAAAGATTTCTTAGTTGCACTTCTGAACTTCCACACCTCCAAAACTGGCTCCATCCATGGAGCAAGGAGTAAAAACTAATAATCTGTCAACATTTTAAAATTATAAGTTTTGAGGTATTTTTGTAAGAATTCGTATAAAGTTCTGGCGGATTTTAGGCCATTTTGAGTTTATAGCCTTCCAGAAAAAATGGACAAATGTCCAGATATTAGTATCTTCACTGTTTTGTTTTCTGCAGGGCTGAGGATGGAACCCAGGGTTGTCGTGACAGGCCTGCGTTCCACCACTGAGCTACATCTCCAGCCCCTCCTCATTTTTTTTCCTTTTGTTGTAGAAGATATGATGAGGAATTGGAGCTAACATTTTAATGTTTTCAGCGGTTAAGCTGAATTATGTATGTGTATGTAACTAATAAGCTTTTAGTGAGTATTTAGCGGGATTTTCCCCCTTGCCATTATTAGAGGCATGCTTGAAGGCTTTCCTGTTMTAGCATCTATTAGAAATTACACTTAGGTAATTGCAATGAAATATCGAAACACTTGAGTTGAACCCAACCTTTAGAGTTGTCCAGTGGCATTGGTAAAGTTGCCAAAGAAGATGTGTGGTGCACAGTTGGGCCCCTGAGATGGCGGTGTGGTCTCCGGTGCTCCTCAGAGGGGGAGCGGCCCTGTGGGTGAAGGGACTGGAGCAGGAAACCAGCTTTCCCAGACCAGCTGGCTTAAGATCTAGTCACTGGGTTTTGTTTTTGGAAAGGTCATCTCCGCTGGTAAGAACTAATCCTTGACAGTGTCACTTTTTGAACAGTGTCACTTAAGAGGATGGAAGTCAGGGACCTGGTGCAAAAGCTGCTGCGAGGTGGGTGGTCCTGTGCCGAAGCACCGTCCTGCACCGGGGCATCACTCTATGGGATTAGCCCCTGTGCACTTTCTTGTTACTTCTGCCATTTGAATTTAAATAAAAATAAAGTGGTAATGGATTGATAAATGTTTTACAGATGTTTAAGTCTTTTGAATAAAATAAGGAAATTAAGCTCACTGCTTTGATCCTGTTGAGAAATATGTATAGAACTTTGGTTGAAACAGGAACCCTGATCAGACTAGCTGAATACGGTGGGTTGTCATTTCTAAAGTCAGTCCAGAGGTGGGGAGGTTTTCAGTTGGTTCACTTGGACGCTCAGGGACACTCCCTTCAGATTGTGTCCCCCTTGATGGTAGCATGGAGACGCCTGGCCCAGGGCCAACTTCTACAGCTCCCACAAAGGAGGTCATCCCTTCTCATCACATTGATCCTCCCCAGCTAAACAGCTAAACCACTCCTGCGAACTGGTTCCTGAAGAGAGGAATGGAATGATCTTTGAAGGTGAGGGACTGGCTCAGACTGTCAGGAAGTGGCTTCTGGGTGGGTGGCCAGAGCGACTCTTGCTGGTAGATGAGAGCCTTTGCTGCTGCTGTGTCCCTGGGGTCCCTGATGCAGAGGGCGCAGTGTTGGTGGTGGCGGGTCTTGGCCGCGTGTCTCTAGTTGCTCATGGCAATTCTGTCATCTGTTTTGTTTTTCATATTTATGATAAAAAGAAACGGGCTGTAGGTCATGAGGCAGAGTGATGATAGAATTCCGAAATAAAATTGTCCAGGCATGGTGGTGCTTGCTGGAATCCCAGCTACTTGGAAGGCTGGAGCAGGAGGGTCTCAAGTTCAAGGCCAGCCTGGGCAACTTAGTGAGACCCTATGAAAATAAAAAAATAAAGTGTAGGGATTAGCCCAGGGTGTAATATCCCTGAGTTCAGTCCCTAGTGTTGCCAACCCCCAAAGCTAAAATAAAATGGTTTTTTTTTCCATAAGTAGTTTCCTGCTGGTGTTAAGTTAAAGAGCCCTAGGGCTTTTCAAAACATGCCTCAGAGAAAGCTGTGATTTAAATGAGAGGTTGACAGAATGGATTTAAAATTCCATCCACATTTTAAATTTTATTTATTGTCTACAGAAGACTTTAGGTTCAAAGACATAAGTGTATTGAGGTAAAAGGATGGAGGAATAATAACTCTATGCAGACAGCTAAGAGAGAGCTTAAGTGGCTGTGTTTTTATTTGGCTTAGGGTTATTTGTCAGCTTTTMATGACTGACCAAAATACCTGACAGGAACAACTTAGAGAAGGAAAATTGATTTGGAGCTCATGATTTCAGTGGTCTCAGTCCATGRTCAATCCACCCCTTTGCTCTGGGCCCAGGTGAGGCAGCGCATCATGGAGGAGGGTGTGGAGGAGGGGGCTGCTCAACTCTGGAGACCCGATGGTGCCTAGGGACATGCCCCTGTCGGGATCTCCTGCAGCCACACCCTGCCTTTGTGCAGTGCCACCCAGTCAGTACTCCTTCCAGTTACTTCTCCATCAGGTGGGTTAACCCACAGGTAAGGTACCACTCATGATCTAATCCCTTCTGCCGTGAACATTCCTGCGGCAACACTTGAGGTTTTGGGGGTGGGGGTACACCTCATATCCAAACCATCTCAATGGCTATACTAATAGCAGACAAGCAGACTAATTTGCTAACAAATTCCATAACCTCGATGAAACGAACAAATTCCTAGAAACTCTGAAATTACTGAAACTAACTCAGGAACTTGAAAATATGTACAGAACTATTATAAAAAGATTGTTATTAATCAAAAACCTTCCTTCCAAGGCAAACCCAGGATGAGCGGACTTCATTGTATAATTCTGTCTATTAAATATTTGAAGAAGAATTAACATCAATCTTAAACTGTTTCGAAAAATGAGAGGGGAAGCTTCCTAATGCGTTGAGGCTAGTATCATACACTGAAGCCAGACTAGTATCTCTCATGGATACAGGTGCAGAAAACCAATACTAGTAAATCGAATCCAGCTACGTCTAAAAAGGATTATGCCCCATGATCAAGAGGAGTTCAGGAATTCGAAAGGTCAGTCAACATGAAATCAGCCTATGTAATATACATCTGTACTTAAGTATAAGTATATACAATATACCATATTATTAGCTTGAAGGGGAAATAGTGTGGTAATTTAGTAGACACAGATACATAATTTGACAGAATTCAATACCTTTYGTGATGAAAGAATAGTCAGGAATTTCTCAACTTGGTGAACATCTGAGAAACCCACAACTTGGGTATACTGCTCAAGGGGAAAGACCAAAATCTTTTTTTTTTTTTTTTAAGAGAGAGAGAGAAAATTTTATTTATTTTTTAGTTTTTTCGGCAGACACAACATCTTTGTTTGTATGTGGTGCTGAGGATYGAACCCGGGCCGCACGCATGCCAGGCGAGCGTGCTACCGCTTGAGCCATATCTCCAGCCCCGGAAAGACCGAAATCTGAGCCACACGTGGTGGCACACCCCTGTAATCCCTGCAACTTGGGAGACTGAGGCAGGAGGATCACGAATCAGAGGCCAGCCGTAGCAACTTAGTGAGACCCTGACTCAAAACATAAAAAAAGGTGGGGATATAGCTTGATTAAGTGTGTCTGAACCCAAAAAGAAAAAGGAAGGGGGAAAAAAAAAGACTAAAAGCTTTCTCTCCAATATTAGGAATGAGATTGAAGATAGTCATTTCTATTCAACATTGTAATAGAGGATTTGGTTAGGAAAATTAGGCAAGAAAAGATATGTTGGAAAGGAAGAGGCAAACTGTTTGGGACAACATGGTCTTTCAATACAGGATGCCCTAAAGAATCCTTTTTAAAAATGAGAACGGTTTAGCAAGGTTTAAACTCTAGGATCAATATACAAAACTGAGTGCATCCTCCATATACCAGCTGTGAGCAATTGGGAAAGGAAATTAAGCAGTTTCATCTACAATTGTATGGAAAAGAATAAAATACATGAGAATAAATTTATCCCCTCAAAGTGCAGAATAACACACAGAGCACTACCAAATATTATGAAAAAAGATGAGAGCTATAAATAAATGAAAAGCCAGGCTGGGGATGTGGCTCAAGTGGTAGCGCGCTTGCCTGGCATGCGTGCGGCCCGGGTTCGATCCTCAGCACCACATACCAACAAAGATGTTGTGTCCGCCAAGAACTAAAAAATAAATATTAAAAAATTAAAAATGCTCTCTCTCCTCTCTCACTCTCTCTTTAAAAAAAWAAATAAATAAATGAAAAGCATCCTGTATTCAAAGATTTTTTTAAGATGTAGCATTGTGAAGATGGCAAAAAGTCCAAATAGGTGTTTAAATTAAATACCATCCCCTCYGAAACTGCAACTTTGGTTTTTTAGAAACAAATAATCTGATCCCAAAATTCCTTTGGAAATTCAGAGACAGAACAATCAATGTAACCTTTGACAGGAGGAATAGGGTCGGGGGGTCACATCTCCTGATTTCACAGCTTAACACAGAGCTGTGGTAAGCGAGAAAGCAGGTACTGATGTGAAAGCATATACACAGTGGAATACAGCAGTCAGCAAGAAAACCCGAGTATCTTGTCGGTTGATTGTTGGCAAAGTTGCCAAGACCATTCAGAGGGGGAAATAATACTCTTGAATAAAARCCACTGAGACAACCCAGTAGCTACGTGGAAAAGAATGAAGTTGAGCCATTACTTAAATCATATCCAAAATTTAACTTAGGGTGAAAGTCTAAAAATACAAGAGCCCAAACTACACAGTTGAGAAGGAACAGGTGAACATTTTGTAGTCTTTTGATTAGGTAGTGGTTTCTTAGTGTACCTGACATAAATAAGCATCCATTAGAAAAATAAGTAGACYGCCACCAAAGAAGAAAGAACTTGTGTGACYGAAGGACACTTGAGAAAGTGCGGAGACATCCCAAATGGGAGAAAGTATCTGCAGATCAGAGATCTGATCAGGGCCTCAAATCCAGAATACAGTAGGTATTACAACCCAGCAAAGATGAAGGAAAGACCACCAGTTCAGAACTGGCAAAGGATTGGCAAAGACAGCTTGAAAGATGACAGATAGCCAAAGGTCCATGAAAACAGGTTCAGCTTTGACATGGGTCAAATTGTGAGCTGCCATCTCACCCTTGTGAGGACAGCTACAGGACGAGGAGAGGTTGGAGCTATGGTGGCAGCAGGCATGTAAACACAGTCACTTTGGAAGTGGGACAGTTCCTAAGMAAGCTGAGCAGATTCCCGTGTCACCCACAAATTCCATTTCTAGTAAACTGAATCTCAAGAGAAT